CCAGAAGAAGATGAATTCACAGACATACATAGAGGGGAAGGAAAAGATGCATCCAGATTTAATCTATAAAGACCGTCAATCAAGAAACCATGTCCGATGACATCCAAACCATTTCTGATAGAGACAGAATTATTCTCGAAAACAAAGCTATAACCAGATCCAGAAAGTCTAGAAACTGAAATAAGATTCCTTCTCATGGAAGGTACGTAGAAAGTGTCTGATAAAACTAAGGAAACTCCAGAATCCAAGCGCAGACTGAAAGTCCCAACGAGCTCCACCTTCATAGGCTGTGAGTTTCCCAAAAATAGCTGCTCATTTGCCCTTGCCTTCCGACTGTGGATTATTCCATGTGATGAAGTTGAAATGTGCACAGAGGCACCAGAATCAATCCACCAAGAATTTGAAGGAACATCAACTAAATTTGTTTCACAACAAACATGAACTAAATCCCTACAAACTGTACTGTACTGTCTCGCTCTAACGGATTCCTCATTCCGCTTCTGGATAAACTGTCCGTCCATCTGTATTAAACCATGGACATATAAATCAAATGAGACCTTTAATTTAATTAACTTTAATATTTCCACATCCAATTTAGGGTTAGAATGGATGGGTCAGAGTGTTTTACGTATGCAACCTTCCACTCTGCGGGACAGGCGGGTGCATCATCTCATCACACCTTTGGGCAAGTGATTTGACATGCTATTCGCCCCCCAAATGTGATATATAATCACCTACAGAACTAGCCTACACAGTGTCAGTTTGATTTGAACACTTCCTAACCTTTGGGCAATAGGGTTATTCTCCTCTCACTGACATGTTTCAACTATCCTGCACCACTTATCATGTAGAGGATTTCCCAGACACCTTTGGGCAAGACTAGTAGTCCACCCACAGATAAGTGCAACCTTCCAGTCCAAATGAGAGTAAACTCAACCTTAGAAAATTAGGGTATTATAGGTTGGTCACCTTTGGGCAAGACACTAACCAAAAACTGTATAGTTGAAAAGTACACAAAATGATCTTTCCAACGACTATTTATGGGCTCAAATCGGACTTAAAACGAATCTGTAGCGACCAAAATAAAATAAATGGTCAAAACTGTAATGGGTTGGGTTAAGAAATTAATGGGTCTGGCCCATTACATAATGGGTTGGATCAGAATTTTAATGGATCCAATCCATTACTATAGCGGGTCGGGTCCATTACATACTGGATCGGGTCTGACTTAATGGGTTATAGGGTTATATAACACAATTAATAAAAGATATTTAATTATACTAATTAATTAATTATAACCCTAATAAAAAAAACTTAACCCTAATCCCACGACCCAAGACCCGCCGCCTTCACTCAAAACCCTCCGCCGCCCGAGTCCATGGCCATGGCTGCAAGATCTAAGTTCTAGATCAAGGGTATAGTTGATTAAATAATAATAAAAAAAGTTCCGGACAAAATCAACTATGCCAAAGATGAAAAAAGTTCAAGGGTATAGCCATGGCTGCAGTCGTGATATTTTAACTTGCCAAAGATGAAAAATCAACTATACCATTAAGGATCATGTGCAGCAAAGATGAAAAATCAAGATTGACCGCTGCCATGATGAAATCAAAGTTGTCCGCAGCAAAGATCGGGTGCAGTTTGACAGCAAACAAAAGTTTTTTTTTTTAATTAATCTGAAAAAAAAAACTTTAATTCTAGATCAAAAATTCATGCACAATCTGTGCTCTGATACCACTGTTGGATAATTTAACGATCTAGGCATGAAAATTGAACTAGAAAATAACAGATTAAATTACCGTTCACCGTCGAAAGACAATGGAAGTCTTCTCCTCTCTCCTCCCGTAGCCAATGATGGGAATTAGGTCTCTTTTCTGCGTACGGTTGAGAGGAGGGACTCCCACCCTTTATATAGATATTTGTGATTAACCCTACCCATCATGGTTTAATCACAACCGTGTGATTACACTCCGGTCGATCCTATCCCTTAAATATTCAAGATAACCACCCAACTTGATAAACATGAAACTGTCTAACCAGACCATGTGGTTAGCATCCTGATCCTAACTTGAATCAATGGCAACTTTAAATCAAATCCAAAATAGAGTAGGTTGGGCCACATGGGTTTGTTGGATTAATCAAACCCAACAAAAACAGCCCTTGATTCTCTGCTTTAATGACGCATAAAAACAGCCCTTGATTCAACTTTAATGACGCAGAAAAATGGAAAGATGAACTAAATTAATCATCACAATACTAATAAAAAGACAAAATAAAAAAAAACGTTACTGAATCAAAAGAAAAGAGTAACTGACGAGAAAAAGCGTAACGTCTGAAGAAGACACTAATCAGTGGGTGTTCAATTCTCTGCTTTGAGAAAAAGCGTAACGTCCGAAGAAGACAGTAATCAGCGGGTGTTTAATTCTCTGCTTTTATTCAGGATAAATTTCCATTTTTATCTCCTATATTAGCAAACCAAATAACAAATAGATCTTCTTCTACTTGAAATCCCAACTACCAAATCAACCAAGTATTCATCCTCTCTTTGTGAAAACAAACTCCCCACAAACACCCACAACAGTATTTCTCATCCAACAGAATGTATCTCATTCTTCTAGCTCTCCTTGTTCCATTCACAGCCTCTTCAAATTTCATCAACTACACCCAAGATTTTGGAAGAATCGTCGAAGAGAAATCTCCCATTTCGATTCTCAAGCCTACAACTCCAGCAGACATCTCATTCCTCCTAAAATCAATATACTCATCTCCATCTCCAAGCAACGTAACGGTAGCTGCAAGAGGAGCCGGCCACTCTACATATGGCCAAGCTCAAGCCCCTGGGGGTATTATTATAGACACAACAAGCTTACCAAGCTCCATTAGAGTTGAGACAGGCTATGTTGATGTCAGTGGAGGTGCTCTTTGGGTGGATGTACTCAATGAGACATTGAAACATGACCAAAGTCCAAGATCATGGACTGATTATTTATATCTAACAGTTGGAGGGACTCTGTCGAACGCTGGTATCAGTGGCCAGACTTTCAAATATGGGCCACAAGTCTCAAATGTCATTGAATTGGACATTGTGACAGGTAATAAAAATATAAGTTCACTGGTACTTAACCTGCAATATACACGCAACTACAATAGACTTAACATGAATTTTTGTAGAGAGGAAAATGTTAAATCAGATGTTCAAGGTGTATAGGAAACTGATATCTGGCTGTGCTGAATTCCGAGTTATAGTAGTTATATTTGCAGGAGGTGCACGCTTAATTTTATTACTGGGTGACATGTATGAAAGAGGAGAAATAAAAAACTTCTACAAAGTTAATATTTTTTGAAGTAGTTTTTTCTGTATATTCTAGATTATTTATACGTGAATGGTAATAACTTCGATTGTCAGTGCAATTTCACTCAGTATACATTGCAAGTAATTCAAAATTCACAACTCTAGACGCATCACAATGACGCCTAGATGTAAAAGAAACATTTCTGTTTCCATGCAACCTTCTCAAAGTTATGCTTCATTGCTTGGCTCTCACTCTATCAGGAAAAGGAGAACAGGTTACGTGTTCTGAGCATAAGAACTCAGATCTCTTTTATGGCAGCTTAGGAGGTCTTGGACAATTTGGCATCATAACAAGAGCCAGAATTATATTACGGTCTGCTCCAAGAATGGTATGTTAATCCCTCATTACTGGTATAAACGGTCAAGTATGTTTGAAACACAATTATACACATCAAAAATCTGCAGGTGAAATTGGTAAAAATGCCATATCATGACTTCAATCAGTTCACAAAAGATCAGGAGTTACTCATATCCAAAGAAGAGGTAGACTACCTTGAAGGATTTCTAAATTTTCAGGTTAATTCATCAAACAAACCAGATTATACCATCGAGCTTGGATTATATTATAACAACAAGGACATAGTTCAGAAGGTAACCCTATAATTTTGTGCCTATATTCCAAATTCCCAGGTATTAACCTTGTAACATGCCAGGATTTGGATCAGATATTATCAGAGCTAGGGATTGTGATATCAATGGTGAACGAGTCAGATTTGTCATACTTCGAGTTCCTGAACAGGGTGAGGGCAGAAGAGGAGGAGCTAAGGAAGAAAGGGTTATGGGAGGTTGCACATCCCTGGCTTAATTTCTTTGTGCCAAGAATTCATATTGAGAAATTCAAGGACATCCTTCTTGAGACCATCTCCAGCAGCTATGGTGGTGGACCTATAATCATATATCCATTTTCAAGGCACAAGTAGGTTCTCTCCCAAACATCTTTACTTACATTTTACTATCCAAGGCAACAAACTGCACATATCTTTCTAAGATGCATGATTGTACTTGTATCTGTTTTTTAGCGGATATGGATGTAAATATAGACAGTTAGACACAGGCATGATATTCATATTTGACAATAAAAAATAAGCACAAACTTCAATTGGCAATGGATATTGACAGGATATTACGAAATAAGACTGGTGATTGAAATCAAAGAATGATTTTAACCTCCAATTGAGACCCTTCTTCTGTTAAAATAAAAAAAAAGTATAAAATTATTGATAATCATGTATATTGGATATCTAGTCAACTTCCAATAGTTTGTCATTCTTTGTAATTTACATGGATCTTTTAAAGAGATGGATAACGAATACCCATATTAATTAAAATACGGATATAATTATCCATTTACATACCTTACTTCTAAAGCTTTAGACCTATGGTGTTGCATAATTGCAGCCTTCCATCCTTCGATTTCTGCTTATCTAAAGTTAGCAAAAATCCTTTAGAATAAAATGTCAAATTGCACTTCTTCAGATCTTACAGAAGTCCTTAAATCAATGTCAAAAATTGAACTTCAGATCTTATAGAAGTCCTTAATCAAGAATTCAAAGTCAACAAGAGAGGTCAAATATATAATGAGTAATTAATCAAGCTGATCAGATATTCAACAATCTCAACAGAGGTTGAAGGTAGGGAAACTTTACAATTAACAGAAGAGCTACAGAGGCAATTGTTGTACCGCTAGTTGAAATTTAACCTACAGAGTAATTACAAAAATCCTAGCAGCTATTCTCCATAAATTCTCTTTTCTCAACACCTAACCAACAAAAGCATGATCCCACCTGTTGATAAAAACCTCAACTGGTTTTCCAAGTTCAGACCCCACAGAATGATCTTGCACGATAAGCCACATAGAGTGCGTCTATGTAAATATGTGGTTGTGTCATGCAATTATTGTTAAAATGAAAATAGATCATTGATTTGAGTGCAGGCTATATACAATCAAAAGTCCTAATATCCTGACTCATTTTTCAGATGGAACCTGAATATGTCGGTTATGTTACCTGAAGTCCATCAAGAGGATGACATTGTGTATGCAGTCAGTATTCTCCAGTCAACCACCCCTTCATGTAGTCGTGGATCTCAGTGTCTTGACACACTCCTAAGTCAAAACCAAAAGATCATAGATATTGCGACGTCCAAGCCCAAACAGAAGTTTCATAGAGAGAATGCAAAAATAGCTGCACTGAAGGAAGGACACATAAAGAGTAGCGAGGGTGGACTGGGAGCGAAACAATATTTGCCGTATTTGAAGAATGAAAGGGAATGGAGGGATCATTTTTGTGACAAGTGGAATCGATTTAGAAAAATGAAGGAGAGATTTGATCCTCTGAATGTTTTGACCCCCGGCCAAAGGATTTTTAAGAGGAAGTCTATTGATAATTGTAACTTTTGTAAACTAGCTCATGCATCACCTTTTCTAATGCTCTAAGAGGGTGTTACTGTGTTAGTCAATTTAGATATTTTCATGCAAAATGGGATAATTGTTAAAGTGGAATAATTTTTTGCTAGTGGGATATTTTAGTGGGATAAATAGGAACAATTTTGTGAAGAGGGATATTTTGATAAAATAACATGGGATAAATTTTTATAATCATGAAATATATATTTATGCATTTTGAAGATATAAATGCTATTTATATATTTTAAACTTACTATTATTGATTGATAATTGCTTATAATAATGTTCTTTACTATTAAATAAATTTTGGTTAGACTATAAGATATTGACAATTATTATTATAATGATGGTCTAATAATGGTGATAACCATAATAGGAAAGAAGTAAAGAAAAAAAATAAATATAAAAAATAAAAAATAAAAAATAGCAAAATAAATATGAGTTCTAGTTTTTTACCACTTAGTTCCAAGCTAAAACTTGGAATAATTTGAGAGACTAGAACTCTCATTTTTGTATAGAAAAATAAAAAAAATAGAATAATTTTGTACCATTATCTCAATTCTAGTTTTGTTAGAGTTCTACTTGACTAACACTGTAAAATTTTGTTCTAGTTTTAGTTCTATGTGACTAACACCTTAAAAATTTATCCCACATATTATCCAAGTTCCAATTCTAAGTTCTAGGTGACTAACCCCCCACAAATAGGTTTTCAGATCTATCATATGAAGTAGTTATTCTAATGAGGTTTTGACAAATTCAGTATCAAGGTGAATATGTGAATTTTAGCCTAACACTGGTGCCAATCTGACATCCTTCAGACTATAAAGCTATTTCAGTACCTAATTTCTTTTCAAATATTGATGTAAAATAATTCAATAAATTCTTTTAATAATCTTTTACAACTAACACCAACTCGAGTTTAAAATTTTTTTAATGGCTATACTCTCAAATACATGATGGTCCAAGGAGGTTCCTGTACTCTTAGCAGCATCTTCTCAACTGTCTCCTCCATGCTGCTCAAAGAGGATACAGGCCCCCTAATACATCAAACCATGACAGATGAAAAAAGCATCACGATTTGCGCGCATTATTTAAGGCCAAAATATAGCCTTATACCTGACATGTATCCTAACTCGGAAAATATGTAAACAAATACCCCTTACCAAATAATCACTTCTGTCTTTTAAGCATATAATCATTTTCACCATGTATTGCCCACAAACAATTTTTGGCAGCTTTTATAGTCAGTTGGTGTTCTATCCCTAAGCTCATAAATTTTTCTTGGATTTGAAATCCAAATATACGCTTTTACAGTACCCACATTCTACCTGTAGACATAAAGAGTTTGTATATATCCTCGAACCACTTTTCATCAAAGAAAAAAGGCATTTGTCAAAGTACTTTTTATCATAATCAGTTATTGGAGAAATATGGAATTTGGACAAAATGATCCGAAACACACACACAGAGAGAGAGAGAGAGAGAGAGAGAGAGAGAGAGAGAGAGAGAGAGAGAGAGAGGG